CGCCGCGCCCTCGAGCCGGGAGCCCTCTTCGCAAAGGTCCCTGCGCGCTGGGAGATCGGTGCAAGCCCCGCGCGGCGTGCGCGTCTCCCGGAGCCGGAGCGCCCCGCACACGCTCGCGCTCCCGCTGGAGCTTCGAGGGGAAGGAGCGCGTGTGCTGCGCTCCCGCACGTCCCGGCCCCGTCTGCGTCTCGCTCGAACGGGAGAGCGTTTCCGAGCGCCCGCAGCGCGCCGGGCGGAGCGGGCGGGCGTTTCTCGCGCTCCGAGCGCCGCAGCGCCGCGGACGCCCTTGCTCTTCTCTCTCCTTTGAGAGTCTGTGCGAGCGCGTGTTCGCAGTGCGCAGGGGTCTCCGGGGGAGGCGGGCGCGGACCGACGCGGCTTCGCTCCTTCACGTCCTGCCCCTCCTCGCCCTCCTGGTCCCCTTTCCTTTCGGAAAAGGGCCGGGGGATGCAGAGAGAGCGGCAGCTCTCTCCCTCTGTCTGTCTCTCCCTCCCTCTCTCTCATGCACCGGCTGTCCTGGCTCCGAAGTTATTTTCTTGCACTCTTTGCCTTCTTTGGGAAAAATTCTTCCTTAGTTTATAAAATTGAATTTTTTTGTGTCTGATTACTGCATCTTTGGACCATTTATGAATAACAATTGGGGTTAGATATTTTTTAAACTAAGACACACTCACTTTTTTCGCCCTTTAATATTTCAGTTGTTTTTATCTTTTATATTTTATCCTCTATATTTTCTGCATAGTTGAAAATGCAGCACATATCCTATCCAATATGTTTTTGTTCTCACTTTTACAGGAAGCATTTCGCCTGTTTTTAAATAATTCTTATACTTGTGCTAAATTGTTATAAATTTTAACATGGCTATTCTTTTGGTCTTAATGGAACATGCAATACTTTTGTACATCTCTTGTTTCTGAGGAATTGTATATTCAATATAAATTCCATATTGTGGAATTTCTGAGGTAAATAGGACAGGTAAATATGTATATTGCCCTACTATTTCTAAAATGAATTATAAGTGATGCATTAAAGTGTGGTGTATAAAATCTCCACATTCTTACTACCATTTTGTCTTTAAAAATTTATATTTGTATATAAAGAATTCCAAAATTATTAGCTCTTCCAAAACGAATATCACAGCAATATATGCACACCCAGTTTGTAATAGCTAAATCTTAGAAGCAACCCAAATGCCCATCAACCGAGGAATGGATAAAAAAAGATGTGTTTTTTATGCAGTCCAGTACTACTCCGCCGTAAAGAAGGATAAACTTGAGACCTTTCTAGGTAAATGGGTGCATACTCTCACCCGAACTAAACTGGACCCATGTAAATGTCACATCATTTCTTTAGTGTGAGATACCAAATGTCTAAATAAGAACCAAAGTGTATAAAAGGTATTGTGAAATAGGAAGAAATTGTTCAAAAGAAAGGGGAACTAGCCAGTGGGGAGGGAAAGACGGGAAAAGAAAAAATAAAAAAAACAACTCCATATTTTTAAGTGAAATAAGCCAGGCACGCATGTTTAAATATCACATTATTTCTCTGGTGTGAGAAATTGAAAGGGTAAATCAGGACTAAAATGTTTAATCTGTACTGGGAGATAGGAAGAGGATATTCAAATGGGAAGGAGAACAAGGGATAGGGGAATGGGAAAGGAAAGAAGGGAAAAGAAAAAAGGCAATAGAAAAAAGAAAATGGAAAGAAAGCTTTTGTAAATAAGGAGGGGAAGAGGGGCTGAAAGAGGGAGAGGAGATTGGGGAAGAAGAAGAACCAAGGTACAGCACGTGCGGGTACAAATTCCTCTGGTGGCTGTACATCATTGTGTACATCTAAGATACACCAAAATTAATCCAAATTAAAAAATAAGTAAACGAGCAATCCCGAGGATTGGAGATGGATTTAAGGAATGAGATAATACTTTATGGAAATAAAGTGCTTGAAAGCAAACAAAACAAAGTAAAAATGAGCCAGTGAAAAAAAGGGGCAAATGAACTACATAGACACTTCTCAAAAGAAATACAAAAGGCCAACGATTACATGAAAAACTCCCATCCTTAGTCATTAGGGAAGTGCCAATCAAGATAACTCTGACAGACCATCTTGCCCCAGTCAGAATGGCTACCATCAAACACACACACACACACACACACACACACACACACACACACACACGAAAGAATTCTGGTGAGGATGCGGGGAATAGGAACCCTTCTACACTGCTTGTGGGAGCATTAACTAATACAACCGCTATGAAAATCAGCATGGCGAGTCCTTGGGAAATCAGAAATAGGAATTTCACGTGGCCCAGCTGTACCTGTGTATACCGTGGGTGTAATCCCCAGCGAGTCAAGGACATCGTACTATAGTGATCCCTGCGTGCCTATGTCCACAGCAGCAAAATTCACAGCAGCTGAGCTCTGTTTACAACACCTTGGGTGCCTGCCGATGAATAGCTCAATAAAGAAAATGTGCATTTGTAGGATGAGATATACATATGAATTTTTCTCAACGATAAGGATGAATGAAATCATGTCATGTTCAGGAAAATGCGCCGAGCTTGAGACCATAGTCCTATGTGAAATAAGTCAGACACAGAAAGTTAAATATCGCATGGTTTCCCTTATGTGAGAAACCTAAAATGTAAATAAATAAGGGAGTAAAGAAAGACAGAAATGACAGGAAGCAAGAAGGCGGCCTTTTGGGACCTGAGGAAGAGGAAGCGGGGAGGGATGGGGCCAGGACGGCGGAGGGGTCGGGAGGGATCAGGGTCTGCGATACGCATGCGCCCATTTCCTGAAATGAGTATTGCTGTTTTATTTTGCAAACATACACTAGTAGAAAATTTTATTTTATTTGGCTTTGTAGCTGTAAAAATAGTATCTGTGATTTAATATGTTGCTTGTTTATGCCTAATAATGAACATCTTTGTAAGTATTTTGATAGATAACGTCTAACTGTATCTTCTGGGAACTTTGATTTCTAATTTCCCACTGCCCTCATTTTTTTAAAGGAGTTTGAAAAACTACATTCTAATGGGACATATTGTCTATCAAAAATTTGATGTAAATATTTTCAAGGAAACTTGCTGCACTTCAAAATTTGTACAGATTTTGCATCAGTATTAACAAAATCATTTCTTCATTTTCTCTCACCTGTCAAAGCCAAACATAGATTTGCTCATGATCTATATGTCTTGTGGTTTTGATTTGATCATGACTTCATGTTTTACTTGTTTTTAACTCGTTTTAATCCTTCTAGAATTTATTTCAGCGAATCATGTGTTGCTTAACTTCCTCCTTTCTCATTTTAAATTTTTTCCTTCCCGACGTCAACCCCATGTATTGAAAGTTTCTGGCAAACTCCTTTGTGCTGGAAAACTACTTATATATATGTTATACATTCAGTGGTACCTCAGTTCACAAACTTGACTATTTCCACAAATTCTGGTCACAAACTGAATTAGTCACAAACTTCCCCATACTGTCAACCTTGAACCTAATCGTTGAATTTCGTTCGGTTCTCATTCGGTTTGGTTTGTGACCAGAATTGTGGAAAGAATTAAGTGCATGAACCAAAGTACCATTGTACTGTGTGCAGTATAATGTATCTGAGACTTTGTTTCTAGCATTAGCTTATCATTCTGTTTATTTGCCTTAAATAAGCATGTAAAGTAGCTTGGTATTATTATTGACCCTTCCGTATCTAGTAGGGTCAGTATTCCTCAATCATTTTTCATCTTGTCTGTTTCTGTTTCCCTACTTCTAAATATCAGCTTTAAGAGTAAACTAACTTTCTAAAGGTGATAGAGACTCATTTCAACAGATTTATTTATTTATATATTTAACATTTTTTGTCTTTTGGGGACAGGGTCTCACTCTGCAGTTCAGGCTGCTCCTGAACTCACTTTGTTGCCCAGGCTGGTCTTGAACTCGCAACATTCCTCCTGCCTCAGCTTCTCCAGTGCTGTCTACAGATTTAAGAAGAAAAAGGACGAAGAGTTAAAAATAAATAGCGTTTTGAGTCACATTCAGCTAATATTTGCTGTCTTAATGTTTTAAAATTTCCTCCCACTTGCCTGTTTTTATATTCTTATGTTTTTAGGGTATCAAAAAATTGTACATCAATGAAAAAATTTTTGTCAAATAATGGCAATCTGCAAAAAGTTTAGAGAATAGCAGGTTCTAACAAAGTGAATACAATTTACCCAGATTTCATGGTCCAAATCCAATCCATTCTTTAATTAGAATCTTTTAAAACCTGTAGTATGGTGTAAGTACATATTTTAATATATTCCATTTAAAGACATATTATCCTATATGTTATATCCATCAATTCATAGGCCTGAGGGTTTGAAGCTAAGGCTCTCCGGACAGGTGCCAACTGCTGCGCCTTGTCTGTGAAACCAGCCTCCGTGTTGCATCACATACTGTCCTTTGCTGGACAAAAAACTTACTGTGCTTAGCATTATGGCAAAATTAATGTTTATGCACCCAAGAATATTGTCTGAGACTCAATGACGTATTTCCTTTTTCTGTTCAGTAGGGCTTCTATTTGGAACTAAGAACAGTCTCTGCCTCTTAAATCTGAGCACCATTTAAATGTTTGTTTCC